GAACCATACATTGGCAATGTCTGACTGGACCTCGTGTCACTTTATGTTCAATAAATTGAGCCCCGGGGTCAAAAAGGTTAAGAGCCCCTGCCATAATGCATTGCGGGCCGACCCGAGTTTTTTTTTTTCTTCTGCTGGTAATGGCGGATGAAGTGAGAGAAAGGAATATGTTTTAGATAAAAATCTGGCAGCATAAAAAATTAAATGTTTCAAGCGGTTGTGTTAATGGTTTTGTAACGTGTATAGACCTGTTTTTAAATATTTTTGTCAGAACTCAAATGAGTATTTGTGGTTGATGATTGTTTTTGTTTCCTGCTGGCTGTGACACAAATTGTCCCATGGGGATATTAAAGATAACTTGAACTTGAGTTGGTATATTGAAATAAACATGCACCTACGGCCTGGTCCATTAGTTCTTCAAATATTGCCTTAAAGTTAATTTTGTTGTTTTGTGATATTAATAACTCTAAGATATTGATGTTTTTCTACTTTTGATCTAATGTTTCTTCTGTTTAGCATCGTCACGGTTGCTGGGTGACAGGACGTATGGCGGCCCACCTAGACTGAGTCCTTGGGAGGACCCAGCCTCTGAATTTAGATAAAGCTTCTGTCTGCAGGTGACTTCCTGTCTGCAGCCTCTCTCCATCAGCTGTCAGTCAGTTCTGCAGCATTATCCAGTAGAAAGAGCAGCAGGACTTCAGCTGTGGAGTGAAGCTCACTTAGAGACTTTCAGCATCAAGTCTATTTCCTCTGCAGCTTTCACTCAAGTCCACAGAGGAAACAAAGTGCTGAGTCATCATTAGTGCACAAACACTGGAGGGATGGATTTCCTTCTGAGATTAAAGACATAAACTCTGAAAAATCAGATGACCAACAAACACGGAGGCTGTCCCTGAACACTGGCTGTGTCTCAATTCATGAGCTGGGTCCTGATGAGGGCACATTTGTCGGCCGCACACTTCACTGCCCCGCACCGAGTTCTGTCCTAATTCGAAGGCTCCTCATCATGCAGACGACAACCTCTCGAAATCCAAGGGTGCATCCGTGTATCCTCASTGRCCGAKGAYATCCCAGGATTCAATGTACCAACAGCAAAATAAACAGGGAAATGAAGACGGGTGAGTTTTTTTTAACGAGTCGGTGGAGTTTGGAAATTCACCATGGACCAAAGAATTTGTTTTTAAAAGTAGTTTTAACAACTTAGCTGTTGAAACTTGTGCAGCAATAAGATGTTAAAAAAATGCAACTACAAGCGCTGATACTGGAGCTAAACCTGAATTATTATTATTATTTATTATTTACATG